GTGTGTGTGTGTGTGTGTGTGTGTGTGTGTGTGTGTGTGTGTGTGTGTGAGATACCCCTTGCGCTCCCTGGGCCCCCCAGGTCTTGTGTCTGCACAGATCTGTGTGCAAACACCATCTGCATCCCCCAACTTGTTTATGAGGGCCTCGACTAATTGGCTCGCCACCAGCAACACCTCTGAGCCCCCCCACCCTCTGGCCCCCTTCCACGCTCACACACCTTGAAAGAAATTAGAAACGTGACAACAAACTCTGGTTGTCAGAAGGGACAGCGCTGCCACCAATCACTGGGCGGTGGCAGGCGTGGGGGGCTCCCCCCCTCCCCCGGCATGGGGTAGTAATTGGTGAACCCGAGGTGAATGAAATAATTGGAAAAGTGAGGTGTGAGTTTGTTACTAAAGTGCGTGCGAGGTGGGGGGGTGCGGAGAAGGGCCCTGTTTAAAAGCCCAGTGCGTCCTCTGTGCTCACAGCTTCGGATACAGTAATTGCTATTTTGTGGTTTCTATTATCTGCACGGTGGGGGGCGAGCCTGGCTCCTTCCCCAAGCGCTGCAGCCTGGGCGCAGGAGGAGGCCAGGGTGCCCCATGACACCCCTTCCTCCCTAGGACCCCGGCCTGGCCCTGCCGCACCCAGTTCCGCTCCTGGAGAGCCAGGCCCTCCCCACGCTGCTCCCGGAAACGGCCCAGGCGCCCTCCCTGGCAGATAGGACCCTTAATAATGGCTGGTATTTATATGTCGCTTATCTCCAAGGAGCTAAAGGGACTTCATCGATTTCTCCCTCCTCCAGCCCTTTCTCCCTCATTCTAATTCAACTCTGGTATCTCCCTGAGATCAGCGGCGTTGGCCTCATGTTATGCTCCCCGGCCATAAAGCCCCCAGCACCATCCCCGGGGCCAGCATTGTGCTTGGCCGGGAGAAGTGGCCGCAGTCTCCGTGCACAGGCCACTGTACTGCCCGGCCTGCAGTGTTCTCATCTCACTGTCTCAAAGGCCTCGAATGTTGCTGGCCGGAGCCCTGGGGCTGCCCTGGTGAAGCACACGTTGGCTCTGCCCTGTCCAGTGAGTCTGGGGGACTCTGAGTCGGCACTGGCTCACTGGCACCCAGCACCCCACAGCTGAGCCATCGAGTGCTAGCTGAAAGGTTGGTTGTTCAGACCCACCGAGGGTGCCTCGCAGGACAGGTCCGGCACCCTCTGCTGGGGAGTGACCTGGAGTGACTGCACACCCGGGGTCACCCTGAGTCGGAATCAACTCAACAACTCAGTTATTGGGGTGGTCAGGAAGTTCCCTGTCAAGTCTAACCCGCATCCTCCTAGCTGCTCCTTAAGCCTCAGCTTTTCCTTTCAGAAGGGGAGTGCCCTCAGGGCAGATGTGGGGCTTTAGAAACTACCACGGTTTGGGGGCGGAGGGTCCATCGTGCACAGGCGAGGAGAT